CACATACATATACACGCATACACAAACATACACACATATACATGCACACATAGACAGATACGCACTTAATAGCATAATTCAACTGGGGATTTTTTTTTTCGTTTTCATTTAACACATTACTAATCCAAAAATTATTTCTTTTGTTGCTTTTCATTTAAGAGATAATTTTTGTGATATAAATTGAAAATATTTGACAGTAAAAGAAAGATGAAAATGTCTTACTTTATTTTTGTTTATTTTATTTTTATTTTTTATGGATCAGTAATGTATTATATAGCGTAAGAAATAGTATTTCTTACGTGATTAATCACGTTTTAACCTTTTTTTATAAGCCATATACATACATCATTGGTAAATAGTAAATGGGATAGGCTAAAATGGATAAATTTTGATTTACAAAATATAAAAAATGATTTACTATGAACAAATGTAATGGATTAATTGTTAATTGAAACAAATATTTGTTAATTGATGGATGAAAAGTTTGCAATTGAAAATACGCTGAAAGTTAATTATCTTAGAATTATTTCAACTTTTCCTTTTTTTGGAATACAAATTTAATCCATAGGGAAATTAAGGAGACAATGTAGAAGTCTGAGAACATTTATTCAAGACGTGTAAAATTAACATAATCCAATTTATTTTATCAATCTTTGACATTTCCTAAAGTGCTATTTATGAAATGATAATATTGTATGATAAAATTGTTGAATTATTATAGCTTATTATTTCACTATTCTTTTTTACATCTAATTTCGAAATAATCTGAAAATTAAATGTTTCTATAAATGTGAAGAAATGTTTTAGAAAATTAAGAATTGCAAGAATGATTTAAGGTAATTCGTTGATTGATTAAAAGTTTGAAAAATTTTCTCTCCCATTTTTATCAATTAAAAATAATTCGTACGTGGAAAAAAAAATGTATTTTTTTCCAAATAAATATCCAAAAATTTCCAATAATAATTATTTATTCTATTATTTCATTACAATAAATTTTCATCAAACAGTTCACTATTTTTTAAATTAGAAACATTCTAATTTCGATAATTTATAAAATAACGAAAAAAGAAAAAATATATAATAAAATGAATGAACTTTTATCGTTCTTATTATAAACATCTGCTGAATTTATTTGAAGTAAGAGAAAGTATGTTTTTTTTTTCTTTTTTTTTGAAGTAATCCGAGATGGAATGAATAATTTGAAATGTTATTGTTTTGATGAATAACTGAGTTCTATATCTCGTATAATTTACCTTTATTATAATGAAGTATTAATTGTTTTTGAGGGATGGTGGCCATAATTGTATGATCAAAATAATTCATTCCAAGACAAAGTAAATAATTGAATTGTTGTTTTTCTTCTCATCACATTAAATTATAACAATTCATCCATTCCTTTTCATTTCTCCGTCTTCCTCCTATCCCAGATGACCTTTTTTAGCTGTTGATCAAATTAATATGCCAATCTAACATATGCCTTATTGAACTAGCAGTTTAATATAACTGCTAACTGTTGCTTGGGAATATGGCAGATTTGTTGCTATTAAGCATATGTTCAAATAAATTTGATCTATCCTAGTCTACTAGGAATGTTTAAATAAAGATGGAAACAGCTTGTGCTAAATAGGATCAATTTACGGCTAAATTATTAATCTAATAAAAAACCACTTAGAATTCATAACAGAAAAATATTCCTCCGATTGCTATTTGAAATATGATCATATTCTTAAATTGTAATTTATATCTTATGAATAAATTATTGCAACTTCAATTATGATTTTTTTTTTTTTGTTGAATTTTCTACTCCTAAAAATTATAGATAAATTATTTCCTTTCATTTTCATTCAATAACTAACAGTTATATTAAATCGAGAGAAAAAAAAAAGAAGCCTTTCTTATCTCTCTCTTATGTGCAATTTTGCTTTGCTTTTCTAAATTTTACTAAAAGGCAGATAATCAATTTTTTTCTTATTAAAATACGTTTATTTGTATGTCTTTTAAAATAACTAGAAATTAGCAACAACCGCTCATCTAAGGATATTATCAATGTTCACTTGTCACAATTGTCGTCACAATCTATCCATCCAATTGATGCCATTTATCCATTCCATTCACCAGTTTGAATTTGTCTGCTGCCAGATCACGGGTATGAATGAAATTGCTTTTATTTGTTTATTCTTTTGGAACAGAAAATAGAATGGATGAATCATCAACTACCGTAACAAAATTCAAATATGACTTTAAAATAACTGATGACATATTCATTTTCTATACTGCAAAATATTCGTAATGGATGTGAAGAGGGTAAAGAATGTTATTTATTCAAAAATTATGATAAAGGGGAAAAAGACAAGAAGACGCAACAATATACATCCCTGTTGCTAATGTATCGATTACATCACTCATAACATTAAAATAATGAACACAAATTATCCGTATTATTAAAACAACAATTACAATCCATTCACAAAATGCATTCTTCATTTCCTCAAGCACCGTACATTACCATTATTATTTCAAAAAGTGTGTTAAGCTCATAAAAGTATACAAACAAACTAGCAATAAATAAACATACAGAAATGAACGACAAATGAATTGGAATACAAGTAAGTAACAGAAGAAACATATGTCTCTCAGGAAATGATTGCAAATTTTCAGTGTTTTTATTAAAATATAAATATCATTACTTTTTGTTGCAAATTATCGGGAAATATTAAAAATGCTAATCTTTATGAGAAAGTAAAGGGATATTTGACAAAAACTCAAGCAGATGGAAACATCTGATGAATACAGGCATTAATGGTACATAAAATGGTAGAATAAATGAATAAACGAATAAAGCAAAGTAAACAATGTCCGAAACTATACCATACCATTAAAATGCAATAAAACATGAAAACAACATAGAAATAAATATACAATTATAACCAAGTCGGGATAAGAAAAATAAAACGAACAACTGCAACGGTAAAAAAACCTGCTATGATGGAGACAAAAAAATTTCACTCCTTAACTTTATCGTTTAAATCGTCAGCTTTCAAAAATTTAATCTAAAATTATGAAAATTTTAATCCTCCTAACATAAAAATTTTGAAGTTCGAGAAATACTTGAAAGTTTGTAGTTTTGAAAACCCAACACAAATACACATCAAAACAGCAATATGTGAATAATTTTATAAAACAAATCCTCAAATATTAAGATTAAGGAAACAAAAAATTTACAGCAAGCAGTTCACGCTTATTAGAACAAAGATTGATAAAGATGCAGAAATAATTAAAAATTTTAGTAAAACACAATTATGATTTTTAATAAAGCACAAATAAAGCATAATAAGTTATAATAATAAGGTACAATGTTAATATTGGCTTGCTGGAGTAATTCTAAAACCCATTTCGTATGGTTATTGAAGAAATAATAATCCATTGACCATGTTAGTAATGTACTTAATTATGCTGGGACACTGCAAAAAAGTTCGATAGATTAATTTGAATTGTAAAGGTTCCTTTTTAGTGCTGATTACTTAAACGAGTCTTAACCCATCATAATAAAAGAAATTGAAAATTTTTCCATGCTGAAAAACCAATAATTAAAATAAGATTCATCATATCAAATTACATAAAAATTGAAAACTGTTACTGTAATAGTGAATTCTTCGTATTCAAGAAGTTAATTCAGTGATAACTTACACGCCAACCATTTTTATTTCGATGTGGCTGAGTAGTTTTATAAACATTTTGAAATTCAGCTTCAAAATTATCTGCCAAACGTAGAAGCTGCTCGGCAATCATCCGGCTGCTTAATTCTTTTTGTTTTCCTGCAGAAAAAGATGTTCAAAATAAAAGATTAAGCATCGCTTAATGAAAAAAGAAAAAGTCAAATCAATACGCCAGTCCCCTACGATTAATTGATTACGAAAAATGATTTAAAAAATAAACAACAAAATTAAACTTTAATAAAAATTAAATAAAACTCGTACCACCTTTGCAATTCCCTCTACCTAGTTCATTGATAATTCCCTTAGATTTAATTTCATCGTTTCCAAAGCCTATACCGAGGAAAAAATTTTTCTGAATAACTGACTCATCCTCTTTTTCTAACCAATATCCCTGTTCCATTCTTATGCAACCCTGAAATGTAAGTTCAACGAGTGAAATTTTACAAGATAGCGCTTACAATAAAAATATAATCCAAAGTTGTAAGAAAGACCGCAGTATACTTTTCTTGTTCCTTTTTTCATTTGTTTTTAAATCAAATAAAGAATAGAGCTATTTATGGAGTCTGTAGAGCAATTCTTTTGTAAAATCATGATGAATCAAGAATAAAATGACCATAACGTCTTGCCTGCATGCAACACCCTACATGATCATCAAATGATATAGCAGTATCACTGGAATAAGTTGTCCAAACATGCGAGCAGCCCACGTAAGTATCATCAAAAATACCAGCGGTGTAATGCATCTGAAAAATTATTAAAAATACGGCAAAGATGCCATAAATAAAAAAATACTTGAGAAGAAAACACGTACGCAAACAAGGTATAACTTTTTATTTAGGATAGAAACTATCTACAAATATTCTTCATCCAGATTTTAAATTTTAAATTAAAAAACAGCGGAATTTTTTTTCAGCTCTACGTAAATAAGGCTGCTCATGTGATTAATGGTATACAAATCGTACCGTCTGAGTTAGAATCAAGCAATTTCATTTTTCCTTGAAATTATTTTCATCAGATAATTCACATCACATTTTAAATCGAATTCTTGGAACTACCTTTAAAGCACTAACTTTTCCCTTTTCTATATCATATCAAAGCCTCTACATATTTCAAGATAGTTGCCAATATTTTTCATCATAAAGATCATTCTTTAATTTGTATGACAGAAACGATGTTCAAGGTTAAATCGTTGCACACCTCAGTAAATGCAAAAGAGCATTCAATATAAGTCTGAGTAAATTGCACCATGCCTATCCTCAAGGAAAATTTTTCCCAAACATTTCAGTCCATCAACAAATTTTGCATATGTATACACGCGTGTGTACACGTGTATGTGCAATACATTTGTTGGTTATATTACATACAACTCATTACACTTATTATTAACATATTTGTGTACGCGTTTATTTCTAATGAACGGTATCTTTGTTAAGAATCAAATCATTTCTATTTACCACCTAAAATATTATTTCATGGTTGATTAGTTTCTTGGCTTTCAGCTGTTAGCATTCATCATATATATAAAAACAGAAAACAATTGAAAGTAAATTTTGAAATGTGATTTCATTTTTTCACCTAATGTTAACTCAAAAAAAAAATGATGTTTGATTATTACAAAGCTTAAATTAAATATATTTGATAATAATATAATATAAAAATTATAGCAATACTTTTCTTATATATAATTTGTACTAGAATATAAAATGAAATACAAAATATCGTCGCAGAAAACACCACAATACAGCATAATGTAAAAGCAAAATTGAAATTACTTAAACATTTATTATTTTTTTTTGTTAGAATTCTTAGAAACAGGAACTATTATTTTAAAAAAAAAATGCAACTTGCCATTGATTATATCATAATAAAATCTTTTAATTCCAAAAATTTCAATTCTAACCATTAATTTACACTATTTTAGAAATGCTTTTTATATTTTCTAACACTCTCAAATTTCTCTCCTAATTGTTCACATTCTTGAAATTAACATTGATGTAACGAGAAATTTCGATGGAAAAAAATTCGCAGACTAATTCACGCCCACGTTCCCGCACAGAGTCACGTAGAATAAACAAGAAGACAACAGGAAATTACATGTCACGATGAGGATGGGTATGTGTGTTTTCGCGCAATTTCACGCTCGTTAATCTAATATAATACGGGCGCTATTGCGGTATGCAAATTCACTCGTCTCATACCTTGAGCAATTAAGAACTTTGATAGGATTAAGTGCGATCAATAGCTTATCATTTGTAATAAGATGATCATCCATTATCATTTACACTATTCGTAATCATTGATATTGATTATTCGTTGTATTAGTATTAGTTTTATCTTATCATGAAACATCATTTCATTCATTAATTTTATTTATCCGAATTTAGAAAATAAGCTAATCATTCATAATTTATCGAATTGGAACAACATCTAATTAAGTTCGAGTGGCAAAATTACAAATGTTATTAAGAAGATAATTGCTTGATTTATCAGTGATCTTTTTTTTTTTCTTCACCCATAAAGTAAATAAATAGCATCAAAGGTTGCAGTTGATGATGATGATGATGATGATAATAGCTCAGATCATTGCACTCTTTTTTTGTTTTTCTCTCACCAATAATTAATTATTGATCTCGAACTGAAAAATTAAAATCAATAAAGGGATAAGCAACGTACAGATTTAGATAATTCTTTTTCTCCTCACATTCTGTAATAGATAGTAATTTTTTTTTTTTGGAATAAAATCAGAAAATTTCCTGAAATTAATTCTATACTATTTGATTAAAATCGGTAAAATGCTGAAAATATATATGTATTGATCGTCGTATAATTCTCTTCTTACATATTAATCTTTTCATCAATAAAAATAATGTTTTGAAAAAAAAAAAATTTGAATAATTTATTATCGAATATCAATATTTCATTTAATATTTAAGCAATGAGAATTTCGTAATACTTTTAGGAAAATAAATTTACGACTGCAACCTTTGATGCTATTTATTGCCCCAAAAACAACAATAACAACAACAACAACAACAACAACAACAA